GGGGGGGGGGGGTCACGTGCTCTCTCATGGGATACGGAACGCGGTGACCCGCGGGGGAAATAAAAACCATCCCTTATTTTTTGTAAATAATCAGGTGCCGCTCGACGGAACTGAAGCGCGGCCACGATAGCGAGGAGGCCCCGCCGGTCCGGAGATATAGCGCGGAAAGAAGGGGGGAAGGAGGTAATAGAAAGAGGAGCAAACAGAGAAACGACGCAGATTTGGCCCACGCGATTCAATGATTGCCATGCTTTTTGCTGTGGGCAAACCACCGCCGCCGCGGCACGGGAGCAGCTCGGCGTTGTTATCGGACGGAAGGAGGCGGCACGCGACAGCGCGACAGCCGCGACAGCGCAGCGGCGCGCCGCCGCGCAGGTCAAGTATCCACGCGGCCGGCAAAGAAAACGAGTCATTTTTTTGCACCAGGCGTTTTTTCGAAGTGCCTCTCATGTCTTTGTGCGAGCGTGAAGCACAGACGCAGAGAGCTTTCATGCGCTCGCCGTGATTTGCTGTTTCGAGCAATAAGTTTCGAGGCGCCCTCATGCTCCGCCTGGTTTGTATACATACGGACTGGCGCAAAGCCCCCATTGACCGCGCATGTGTTCGCGTTCGCCCCTTCGCGCCTGCCTCGCCTCGAATCGAGAGCGGCAGAGAAAGTATTTCCATAGAAGTGGAGTGCCATATAGTACCACGTAGGCACGGCCGCGTCCCGCGTCGCGTTCCTCATTGCGGTCTGAAAAAATATTACTGCGCGCGGAAAAGTTTAGCGTTGGTACGCGCCGCGCTCGCAGTTTTCGGAGAAATTCACCCCACCCCCTTCCCTCACATTAGGACGAGTATTCGTTATCCGAGGGGGGGGGGGGGGCACTCCACGCCCGCCACAAGGTACCAGCAGGTGCGCGCGCGCGCGCGGCTGGGTGTTTGTATCGTGCCCGGGGAATTCCCCGCGCACCCGCACGCGCGCGCGCACGTCCACACTCACGACACGCGAATACAAAACACGCACTCCTCCGCCGCCGCCCATACGCACACATCGCACACGCGCCTTCAGCACCCACGATGACTTTTCGCACCCTCCCTCTTTTGCCACAATCTCGTCTAGTCAGGGAGCCAGCATTAGGTTTTTAGCCCTATCGGTTTAGCCGAAAATCATAGCGCGGGCGCGATGCACCTCAGAAGAGCGTACTCTCTCACTCCCGGCCCCCTCCCCGTTTTACGTCGTAATGAGGAAACCAGTCATCATGGTGGTGCCGCGGGAGGCGGGGCGGGGCGGGCCGAGCCGGGCGACACCCGCGCATGACGTGGCCGCCCAGCGCAGGCGTGGCAGCCTCTCTCGATTTTTCTCCTACGACCTGACCGACCCCGCATCGTCACCGCGCCAATTCGTCGCGTTTCCCCCCTCCTCCGCGAAGTCACCCCCCATCCCACTCCCCACCAGACCCCGCACCGCCACAATACGCCTTTCTACCCC